CATTGTTCTGCAGGGTACCTGACTTTAATTGGCACCTTCACAGGAGCATTGGAAATTGAACTAGTGACTGTGACACCTGCAGAATGGAATCTCGTGGAGCAGATCACCCTAGGAATAGTTTATCTCTGTTTGGTCTCTGCCTTTGGGTTTATTGTATGCTTTGCTTAACAAATGTGTCCCCTGTCTCAGCCCCAGCCTGCAAATGTGATACCCCCGGGCATAGGATTATGCTCAGCAGTAGAGTGGTTTCTTACTATCTCCCAAGGTCAGCTTTCAGCTCCTCCACTGACATGCCATCGGGTTGCAGTCAGCCACAGCAATCTCTCTGCACTTGGAGAGGGAAGGTATACTGGACTGGAGTGATATCTAGGACCATAGGATACCAGACCCGGAGGTGTCAGGCATATGGGACCCTGCATCCTCCAGACCTTGGTCCAGCACCTGGGGGCCACAGTAACTCGTAGGGCACCCGCCAAAGTGTTAGCCCTCCAGTGGTACCAACACCAGTATCAGCAGTTGCAACCCTCCCAAGGACCTCAGCCATATAGCCAGGTATATCGTGATGCTAAAGGGATAAAAACACCTTATAGCATCAAAGGGGGGAATGTGATGGGACATAGCTGAACAGTAGCCATTGTTAGGTGAGCTGACCAGCAGCTGTTCCCAGACAGCAGCCTTTCCCCGATAAGCAGTTGTCTCAAGGCCAAAACACTGACCTTCACTTCTGCTTCAGTATGCTTGCTTTTAGCAGTTGTTCCCCCCCTCCCTTTTTGCCTTGTAACAAGCATATAAAGGAAACTCCAGCTTGAGCTCATTGCCCAGAATTTGGATTTTTTATCTCCTCTGGGTCTGCATGTCTGAATAAACCCCACTTCCCAAACTCTGAGGCCATGTGAGTCGTTTTTTCCATAATAGTTTTAGTGAATGGAAATGGAGACTGCAGCCAAGAAATCAAGAGAAGGCTGAGGTTTGGAAAGGCAGCGATGGTAGAATTGGGAAAGGTCACCAAGGACAAAGATGTGTCACTAGAGGCCAAGGCTAAGATTATCCACATCCTCACATTCTCGATTACTATGTACACACGTGAAAGTTGCACAGTGAAGATGACTGGAACGAAAAATTGATTCCTTTGAAATGTGGTGGTGGAAGAGAGCTCCAGAGGGACCCTGGACCACCAGAAACATGAAAGGGAGGGTCTCAGAGCAAATTAACCAGAAACTTTCCTGGAAGCAAAAAAGGGCAAAACTGAAGCTGTCCTACTTGGACACATCATGAGAAGGCAGACTCTTTGGGAAAGACAATAATGCTAGAAAAAATTGAAGGTAGCACAGAAAGTGGAGGTCCAAGTATGAGATGGATGATTTCATAAAAGAAGACATGGGTCTGACTCTGTGAGAGCTGAGCAGGGCTGCCGAAGACAGGACACTGTGGATGTCACTCATCAGTAGTCAGAGCTGACTCAAGGGCACATAATAACAGCAATGTTTAATGAGGGACTGGCTACCTGAAAAGAAGGAAAAAACAGCTTCATGGAGGGAGTGACTTTTTTGAGCATGCAGATTGGATTCATTAGAACATTTGGAGGAGGGTCCCATGGAGTCAACTCCAGGCCTTTGAGAAGGGAGAGCTGCTGAGCTGATGTTGGTGTCCCTGAGGGGAATGAGGGCTGGGTGTGCAGGTGTTAGAAACCCAAGTCAGCTGCTGCTTCTGGGAATGAGCTGCCACCACCAGGATGAAGCAGCATTGCTGAGGTGGCATGAGGACAAAGGACAACAGGATGTGCTAAGTCCCTCTCTCTCCTGTAGCCTGGCAGACTGACAGCAGGGCCTCCAACCAGAATAGTTTACAGGAATCAACCAACAAGTAGAAGTCTTCTCCTCAGAGTCTCATGTCTGTGTCACAAAGAGGAAGATGGTATCAACTTGCTGTCGAGAGACAGTAGCTTCATAGCTGGCATGGCTTACTGGGAATGGAGCATGGATATAAAGAAGCAAATGCAAAGATCGAGTGTGTGCACCAGGGGTAATTAAGAGAGGATTCAGGAGCTGGGAGTGAGGAAATGGAGGAGGAGAATTTCTGACACTTCTACTATGTTAAGGAATCTTCATGCAGCAAATGGGACTGCAGGTTAAAAGGAAGACAATCAATCTCAATAAGCTTGAGGTTAAGATCATGATTCTGGGGTTCTTGCTAGGTGTTACACGTGTTTTATAGTGAACTTGGGGTGAAGTTAGAGAACGAAAGAAGGAATTCTCATGATGCACCAGCAGGGACGTGTATTCGGCATCACTCAATGCTATTGGTTATTACTATGTTGTCCATATGGTCAAATGTAATGAGCATAAAAATGCCCCTCTGAACCATGCTCTCAATGGTAGTACAGCAGTGCATTCAAAGTGTGTCTTGATTCCCGTGGTAAATCATGCACTTAGAGAAACACTCTAAGGACTTACCCCCAGATTGTGCCTCCCCGCTGGAATAAAGTGAGGGCAACAAGACTCATGTATTCCTGTAAAGAAGCATAAGATGGTTAAATTCATCAAAAAAAATTCACTAAACCACGCATGGAAAAATATACTTTTCTGATTAACTGGGAAAAGGACGCTGCATGAGAACATGCCTTATTTCAATTTCAGCAACAATGATAGTTTTGAAAGAGTGCCTGGGGAGCACACATTGTGTCCTCTCCTCTTCATAAGTGTTCTTCACGCTTCTCCACAATGTACTCATAAAAGCAGAGGACAGTGAATTCCAGGGCCCTTCCAGTAATACAGAGCAGAGCACCAGAAGTATGTAAAATGGTTGAAGTCTTGGGTTTAAATATAAAAATATATCCTCATTTTCTATCTATGGTATCAGTTTATTATAATGGAAGCATGCTTTAATTTATCTAAATTGTTATTTAAATGTTTCCCCCTATAACATTGGTTAACATTGATGTTTCTGTAAAATTCACCATGTATATATTGTGATTTTACACAACTCTGATATTTAATATTCAAGGGGTTCCTGGAGTCCCAGCTGTCTTTTGCCCCCTGCCAAACCACCCCAAACAAAGTGATTTAGAATAACAGCTGTTTTATTCTATTTCATAATTTGTGGGTTAGGAATTTGGGTAGAGTTCCACTCAGAGTCTCTGTTGCTCCTTTACTGAGGCTGTTGGGTGACATTTAACTGCTGGGCAGGCTGCTCAGGCAGGTCTGGCATAGGTCCCAGTGAGACAGCACCTGAGGCCACCTCCCTAGCACGAATGCCTTAGGGTAGCTACACTTCTCCCTTAGTGACCGAGGGCCCCAGAGAGAGTAGCATTAGTTGGAAGCTCCCAGATTTCTTATGAACTTGCTCTGAAGACTTAGAATATCACTGTCACTTCATCTAAATGGTCTCCACCTGTCACTGTGAGGGGCAGGAGGGGCTTTGAGGCTACCTTTGATCTGCTACATCTAGTTTGAGAAACCGAGTGCTCACTACTCTCAGTGTGTCCTGGAGTTAGGCCAGATCACTCCACAGCTACACATATGGATTGCCTCTCGTTGCATCCATGTCATGTTGCTTTCATTGTCTTGGCCTCTGTTACTAGAAGAGTTAGAAGAAAAGCCTGTATGTGTCATTATGAGTGTTCACAGAGGCAGTTCTGAAGGGCTTTTGGCTTCTATCCAGAGGCTGCTCAGTGCCAGCCCAGGGAAAATTGCTCTGTGGTCTGGGTCCCAGGAACAGCCATGGCTCCTCCATGTTTCTCAAGTCCTGCAGCTCTGTGACTTATATCTCCTTTTTGCCTTAAAACTTGCCTTTTTGCAGTAAAACTTCTTCAGTTTTCCCTTTTGTCCTAATTGCTATATATTTACTATTATAGCTGTATTTTATTTTTTATGTTTGCTTAGTATGTGACATCGATGGCAGGGAGATAAAAGCAGATAAATTAAGTATAAATAAATCAAGAACATGAAAGAACATGCAAGTGGAAGTCCCAGCCTTCCAGCTTTGTGCTAATAGTAGGCAGCACATGGACTTCAGCACGGTCTCCACTCCCTCGGTCACCAGGGGGCTGTGGCCCAGTAAGCACAACCCCTCTAATAATCTGATTCTTATGTGGCAATGAAACCTCATAAAAGTGATTACTACATCATGAAGTTGCTTGAGGTTTAAACAAGATGCTGTAGAAGAATACAGTTAATCTAGTGTCTGTGTCTTGGAAGCTTCTACAAATACTAGCCATTACAATGACTTGGAAATTGTTATTTAAAGTTGTATTGTCCTTCAGTGTGATTGTGTTTGTATTTTGTATTCTCGACTAGAAGGTATTCTTGGTTTTAGGTAATAGAATATACTGTTGAATCTGTACCCATAAAGTCCAACACAGAGTCTTATACGAGAATGATTAATATGCTTGTTCCTGGTTACAGTTAGCAGTGAGGACACTTCCTATAGAACAAAATTTGAACTACAGAAAGAAACATCATCTCAGTTCATGGGAAGATGAAGTAATCTACTTCATTTTTGGAATTTCTTTTGAAGTCTCATAAAATTTATGGAGGTTTAAATCTATAGTGAAGGAGACAAATTTATTATAAGTAGTATAAGATTAGTTTAAGTTTCACATTGTGTTTAGTTAGGAGTAATGGGAAAGGAAGAGAGAAGATGGAAAGAGGCAAATGGGAGAAAAATAGAAGAAAAATAGCAAGACTAGAAGGGGAAAGCATCAGATATTTAGGAATTAAATAACTGAACAAATAGTTATTGAATGCCGATTCTCTTTTAACAATTTCTAAAAGCATATGGCCTCTTAGAATAAAACACTGTGGGGACAGGTGGAACAGAGGTGCTGTGACCACACAGGACACAGGAGGAGAGATGTATTGGACAGAGGATTAGGGGGAACCCGGAAACAACTCTAAAACAACGTACATTGTTTGCTTATTGGCTCCTAAAGTGAAAGGTTCTCTGAGCACATGACCTACCTGCTGAGTCTGTGGCCATCAAGGTGACCCCGGCCCAGGTCTTCACTTTCTGCAGAGATGCCACAGCTTTGTGAGTAGTTTTCTCAGAGCTCCCTTCACATCCTTGTTCCTCAGGGTGTAGATGAAGGGATTGAGGGTGGGGGTGATGATGGAATAGAAGAGGGAGATAAACTTGCCTTGCTCTTGGGAGTAGCTGGCTGGGGGCTGCAGGTACATGTAGATGGCAGGAAGGTAGAAGAGGGAGACCACTGCCAGGTGGGAGGAGCAGGTCCCAACAGCCTTGTGCCGAGCCTTGGAGGACTGGATCTGGAGCACTGCCCGGGCAATGAAGCCATAGGAGAGCAGGATGAGGGCCAGGGGGACCAACACAAAGAAGGCCACCAGCACAGCCAGTGTGGTGTCATTCACGGTGGTGTTGGCACAGGACAGCTTGATCATAGCTGGCACCTCACAGAAGAAGTTGTCTAGCACCTGCCGCCCACAGAAAGGCAACTGCACCGTCAAGACTACCTGAACCAGGGAGTTGCCAAAGCCACTTAGCCAGGCCATGGCCATGAGCTGCTTACAGAGAGGGCGGTGCATAATGAGGGCATAGTGCAGGGGCTCACAGATGGCCACGTAGCGGTCCAGAGCCATGGCAGCCAGCACGATGCACTCGGTGCATCCCAGCCAGTGGAAAACAGCATACTGTACTGTGCAACCCCCGTAGCTAATAGTCTTCCTGGAGCTTCCCAGGTTGACCAGCATCTGGGGGACTGTGGTGGTGGTATAGCAGAGGTCTAGGAAGGAAAGGTGGCTGAGGAAGAAGTACATGGGGCTGTGGAGCTGGGGGTCCAGCCGGGACACCAGGATGATGGCAATGTTTCCCAGCATGGCAAGAATGTAGGACACCAGGAGGACCAGAAAGAGAGGGAGTTCCAGCCATGGCCTGCCAGAAACACCCAGGAGGATGAAGTCCTTGGGAGGAACCCCCAGGAGGCTCTGGTTGTCAGCTCTCATGGTGAGGCATTTTCTGGCACCTGTGATGAATTAAAAAAGTCAGAAGGAATGAAACCTGTGAAAGGAATTGTCTTCCTCAGTCTGTGCCTATGCTTCCCCATACAGTTCCCACCTGGCTTTCTTCTGGGGAGACGCTGAGATGGGGGGTGGGGTCAGAACAGCTGCTGATGTGTCCCACTCTCCCTGCTACTCTGATCTTGACTACGCCTTTTAATCTGTCTGAACTTCAATGTATGCACCTGAAACAAGGGCAGAGCATGCCTGCTTCAGTCCTAGAGTCTTCTGGATGATACAGGGACATTACTGTCATGAAAGCATAGCGTGTAGTCAATTTTCTTCCAATTTGGTCAAAGTCTGCCCTAGCTCCATCACCATTGGAATGTTTATGTTTTCTCTACACACACATTGACAAGGAATTTACCACTTTCTTAGGTTCTCTTGTTTTGCATTTTAGAGGTGGAGGTGGGAGGGAGGTGAGAGGTGGCATGAGGTGAGCTTAAGGGCTCTATGTAAGCAACTGGGGGGTCCTTACTATGAACACACCCTGGCCCCTTGTGCCATGCTGGTTGCTCCCTCCATGATCCTCACACACAGACAACACTGACTCTTCATGTGGCAGCAAGGAGAGCACAGTCTGACACCCTCTGAGTCTCCAGGGGGAGGAGCTCAGTCACTCCCACCCCTGTCTTGACCATGGCACCTGGTGTGACCTCAGAGGAGAGGCTAGGAGCACAAGGCCAAAGATGTTGATGCAACAAAGAACAGAGCCCCTGGTGTTGGCTGCCAAAGGCTCAGATGGCCTCCAGGCCAGTTTGGATGTTTGAATTCCTTGCACAGCTTCCGCTTGGAGTTGGAAAATACAGCGATTTGGTTTCAGCCTCCAACCACCTACACTCTCTCCAGGACTGTACTCCCTCAAGTTCATGATGGGGATGATATAGTCATGTAGGACTGAAAGTACATTGAATCCTGTCTGCAGGTCATTTGTGAAAGATTCATTTTTAGTTTTTTATTTGGTGCTTTATGCACAAACTATGAAATGTGTGGAGCTCTGCTCAGGTTGGGTACTGCAACAAGCCCCCACCCACTTCCAAGAACTCTAGGACTATTTGAAAACAACTCTAACTCCAGGGCTTAAATGGGTAAAAATGTGCAAATTGCCTTTCTTCCTCTGTTGTTTCAAAACTACACACCATTTGCTAGCAAGTCCCCTATTCCTGTGGAACACCCAATTATTGTAATTTTTCCCACTATTCTATTAAAAATGTCTAGGGTAAATCTTAGAGATTCTGATTATTTTATCTCTAAAGGGAGCACAGGACCCTGGTTCTAATCTAGTGAGCCGGGCAGGGCAAAATCAGAATGGACCACTTTTTAAGATTAAAAAGCAATTATGTCATTTCTCTTTCTTAAATTTCTGATTCCAAGATTTCTTCTCAGGGTCTAAACTGGGCAAGAAAAGGAAATGTTACAGAGATGATGAGGAAAGATGAAAGGATGAGGGGACTGAGAAAGTAAGAGTGGTAAATATAGTCCACACATGATCCTACAAATTCCTAGGTGCTCATCATGAACCAGGTGCTGTGATAACACCTCCATAAGGTATCTGAGTTTGTCCCTTCATGACTCAGTGACGTGTGTGTCTTTTACCCCAGTTTTACTGTGATCAGAGAGTGGTTTGGGGATGATAGCTGGTCTTCCTTAGTTTATTCACACAGCAGGTAGCAGCAAAGCCAAGACTGAAAGCTAAGGTGTAGCTCTTCACCATTGTTCTCTCCAACAGCTTGCTTTTTAAAAACCAGTTGATAAAAAGCATTAGTGCAAATGGCTGAGACAGAGAGAAGGCTTGAAAGAGGAGAGTTATGTCACCAGAAGGAAAGGGGCATGGGAAGCCCAGAGAGGCATTTTATAATTTCCAGTTCAGTGCACCAGGCACTTGTGGGTGTGTGTGCGCACCAACACACACACCCCCCCCTCACACACCTGCCCACCACTATCCAGCCCTTCCCATAGGGAGTTCCACTTTAGATGCACCCTCTGCACTCCCTTGACCCTTCCTCCCATTCCTCCAGAAGGCCCAAACCCATGGCCACCATCCCCAGGACCAGCCCCTTCAGCCTCATCTCTGCTGTCTCTGCACTGGCCAACCTGACTCAAAATAGCCAAGTGATTTCTAACATCTTACTCCTCCCTCACCGCATTTCACCAGTGGCCTGTGGCCTAGGCACGTCTGTGCACATTCTTGCCCCCACCTTCCTGGGCAGGCAGCACCCTCCAGACCCCTTGGCACCCACTGTCTTCCTGCAGGAGTCCCCTCCCTGTCCCAGCCATCACTCACCTTCACAGCACAGTTGCCTTTCTCAGAGTCAGGGCTTCAGAGCAAAGCTGTCCTTGGGTCTCCCAGGCACCTAACACAGAAAGAGGCCGTCTCTGTCAACAGTCCTGTGGCGAGAGTAGGGACTGCATTCTTCCCACGAGGTTCCCTGGCAGTCTCTTCTGATACCGTTACACCCCTTGGGTCACTTTCTTGACCGTCCTTACGCTAGCCTGCTGGCAGGCCAGGCTGTGAACACCTGGATAGACTTGTGGTGTATATTGTTCTCTGTGTGACTTAGAACCCTTGACATGCAGACATGTCATCCTATTGCCTGACACTTGACAGAGCACCTCATTTGCTCCAACAAAGAAGAAAGGAAATCTGGAAATAAGCTCATGGGGAGGAAAAATGATGAGGAGGCCATGGGCTTTGATTCCCTCTTGTCTCCAAAGACCTCTCCCTTGCACCTAAAATTCAGCCTGAATCTGCTACCCGGATGAGAGGGGCAGGCTCAGTTTAACTGCTGAGGCCATACGTGTGGCAGGTGAGGGAGGTGGGGTCCTGAGGACAAGGCTTATAGTGACAACACTTTCCTTCATGAGTATTAACAGGGGCCCTTTCATCACAAAAAGAAACAAGTGTTTTTCTCACGAGCAGTGGGTCTCTACTGTTCAGGTCACAAGATGAATCTTGGATAGAAGTTCTGATCAGAGTAAAACAAAGATGCTGGCAAACTAAGGTTCTGCAAGTACCATGTGCACTGTGCCCTGCTCGCTGTGATCTGCTCTCACTCACCCTGTGTCTCTGGGCCCACTGCATCCCCCTGCCGAGAGTGTCCCCTGCCTGTCCAGGGCACCTGGACTCTCCCTGAAGCTTCCTCAGAAAGCAACCTGGTTGATTTCCCACCATGGACCATTCCCTGGGGTCTCCACATGAAAGGTTTTGAGGAGCACTGACAACTATATGTTCATGAGGGACTGAGGCATAATTTTTCAAAAGGCTTTAATTTCAGACATTAAACAACATCTCCCTAACAAATAGCGGGAGAAGGGCAGTGAGCCAGCACTGGAGTGCCATCTGTCAGCCTGTGCACCAGGCACTAGGGATACAGGCAGACTAAAACTTCAGAGGGTTGGGTTCTTAGTCCTCCTCCAGATCAACACTGGGGCATGAATCTGGGGGCTGAGCCACTGCAGCCCCCATTGCTGGTTCACACAAGGCAGACATTACCTCCTTGCAGGCCACAGATGTGTAACCCATGATCTCACGTACATGTGTGACTTTTCATTAAACACCCTGTAGAGCTGACATGTACTTAAGAACTTGCCTAATGGAAAACATAATAATGTGCTGTATCATTTGCTAGTAATTTCCAATATGTTGAATTTTACTGCTTGTGGAGATTGTAATTTCCTTACAGACAAGCATCTACCTTACACATTGTGTCGTTCAGAGAACTTAGAATGTGTAGCATCCTGAGCTCATCCATGGGTCTCTCTGGTGGTGGTGGGAGGGAAAGGAGAGGAGGAGGAGCTGGAACACAGCAGGTCAGCCTCCAGGACCCCAAGGATAGGACACAAACCACACAAGGAGTTTGCCAGCCCCTGTAAGCCTCGCCTGTCACTGAGACAGGGACAGTCCTCTCCTGCACATGCCGGCTCCTCCTCTCATACTCCATTGCCTTTGTTCTTTAAATATTTCAATTAGCTGCTAAAATTCAGTTCAAGGCCTGCTTTCTCTGGGGAGGGTACTGTTTGCATTACTCACTCTGTTTCTCTCATTTTCACAGCCATGCTGGGTTTCACATTGGTTTTATGACAGTGACTCAGCACTGTGAAAAACACCGAGGAGCCACAGACATGAGGCTCAGGGTCCTCACACACCTGGGCAACACCTACCCTCCTGATGACCGTTACACCTAGATGTTACTCCTAGATGACTGTTACAAGGTCTACCTAGAGGGAGGGACAGCATGTACTGCTCCTGCTGTCTTCTAGCCTGGAGTACATGATTTTACACGTGCTGCTGCTTGGTGCACAGCCACTGGTCCCTGACCCACCTGTTCTCCATTCCCTGCCCCCTTGGTCTCCAGCACAGACCAGTGCTCATACTGCTCTGGCCTGACCCACCTCTACTGCATTGTGCAGACTTTCGCTTGTCTGGAGCAGAGGACTAAGCACTTACCTCTATGGTCCCAGAGGGCTCGGTTAAGGAACAGAGGCAGGCCATGATGGTCACAGTTGGGCAGGGGGCATTTAGGGATGGGTCATCAGAAATGCTCTTTGTATTCCAGGAAGACATAACCTATTTGCTCAGATGAGGCTGCTGGGACCCTGCCCTTACCTGAGCCTGTCTTTCTGAGCAGCGTAGAGAGACTATTCTCAGTCTAGAGATGTCTGCCTTCCATCACAGTGTGCTCATTGGGGTGACTCAGGGCTCTGTGGGTTCTGCCTGGGCAACATGTGAGCTCTGTGGATCTGCTCCAGCCTTTGTCCCTGGAACACCTGCAGAGACTGGTACAGTGGAGAGCACTCATGTGCTTATTATCTCAGAGGTTACTTCTGAGGTTGTTTCTTAGGTGACAAGCTGTCCTTATGCCATGTTCCCTTTTAAATTTGTCCCTCAGATTAAATTTGACCTCATCCTCTCCATTAATTTCTATAAGGGCTGTGTTCTTTCCCCCCAGACATTGAGAGGAAAGCCTTGCTCTCCTCTGGCTGGGAAATTATCCCTGATGTTTTGCTTAATTAGTATCTGAGGGTTAGTTGGTCTAATTGATGTAGTGTGTGAGCTTGGTATACTTGCAATTAATGGCAAATCCTAGAAGACCAGAGGAAATAAACCAATAATTAAGAATGAGGATGCTGTATTTTTAACTCTCTAGGGTAGGTGGGGGTTTCTCTAAAGCCAAAGTGAAAGTGTGACTTGTATAGCACGTCCACCAGTCAGAAGTGGGCCCTGCGTATGCTTCAACACCAAGTTTGCCACTCATGTCTGTGTGCCTTTGAGCAGGTTACCTGGCCTCTCTGTGTCTTGCCAGCCCTTTTGTCTCCAGCACAGACCAGAGAAGCTCGGGAAGCATGCTCACTGCCCTTCACAGGCTTCTGCAAGTGTGAATGAGCTGGATTTTGTTAAGCGCTCAGAACAGTGACTGGCACTGAATGATCATTTTGACTTTTTTTCCTGATGATTACAAATGCTCTCAGTGCCAGTTCTGTTTGTCATATGGAGAGGAGGGACAGAAGAGTCTTTAGTGACAGCCAGCATGAAGTGGTGTAAGTCTTAATGCATGAGCTGTGAATCTCATGAACCCATACTAGTACTAGGGACCACCATGAACTGTGATGCCTTCATGCAGTTCCTTTCCTCTCCAGCTGTCGACTTGAGCGTCCATTGCCTCTAGTTCTAGATGTTGAGTGGGCATCGGGTGAAGTCATACCAATTGTTTCATTTTTACATTCTGGGGTTTTAGGAAGACTTCTCCAGGACTAGAGGGAAGAGAGATGCCACCCGTCAAACGTAGAGGGGAAATTGTGCTGGGCAATGGTGGGAAAATTCCCTGATTCTCAGCATTGCCCTGCTGTGCTCTCTCCCTCAGAGAGCCAGACCTGCAGTGTGGCATGCCTTAGGAGCTGTCCTGACATCCAGCTGGGAGCATTTCCAGAGACAGCAAGGCTAAAGTATCTTGTCATTGAAAAAAAAAACAAAAAACGAGATGGAACCAACAGTTTTGTGCTGAGAAATTGCTGGTTTATTGCAGATGGAAACTCTTGTAACAGAGACTGATGCAGGGTCCCTTTTGGGTGACATTATAGCACCTCCTCACTCTTTGTAAATACCTGTCCTGCCACTCAGACTGAGGGCAGTCCCTGCGACTCCAGATAGCAAGGCACCATACGAGTTACAGTTTCGTTTCCCTGATGGATGCAGGAAGAAAATGAGTTGAATTAGATTCTAAGAAATCTTGTATAAATATTGTCAATCCCCCTTTCTCCATTTTTGTTTTTTAAATGTTTAAAAACAGTTTATTTTTACTGTATTTTATCCCCTTTATACCTTCTTCCACCACCATCTACCCCACTAACCCCACAATCACCACAGGGTTGTCTGTTTCCATGAGTCCTTTTTCTTTTTTGTTCAATCTCTCTACTCCCCACCCCCTACCCCCAGAGCTGACAGCCTGCTCTCCATCTTGGAGTCTGGTGTATTTCTTGTTAGTTCAGTGTGTTCCTTAAATTCCACATATGAGTGAAATCCTATGGTCCCCATCTTTCTCTGACTGGCTTATTTCTCTTGGCGTAATGTTCTCCAGGTTCATCCAAGTTGTCAACAATGTGAATTTTTTTTCTATTTTATAACTGACTAGTATTCTCTTGTGTAAATATACCATATCTGTTTTATACACTCATCTACTGATGGACACTTGGCCTGCTTCCAAATCCTGGCTATTGTAAGTAACGTTACGGTGAACATGGTGGTGCATATATTCTTTCAAATTAGAGTTTTGGCTTTCTTCAGATAAATTCCCAGAAATAGTATTGCTGTGTCAAAAGAAAGCTCTATTTTTAACTTTTTGAAGAAACTCCATACTGCTTTCCACAGTAGCTTCACCAATCTGCATTCCTGTCAGCAGTGCACAGGGTTTGTTGACTTGTTGTCTGTTGGTTTATAAATGGTTGCCATTCTGACAGGTGTGAGGCAATATGTCAGAGTGGTTTTAATTTGCATTTCTCTGATGACTAGTGACATTGAGCATCTTTTCATATGTCTGTTGGCCAACTGTATGTCTTCTTTGGAGAAGGGCCTATTCAGGCCCACTGCTCAATTTTTAATTGGATTATTTTTTCATGTTCAGTTTTTAAAGTTCTTTATAAATTTTGGGTATTTTTGTTGTTGTTGTTCAAGTGCAGTTGTCTGTATTTACCCCCCACCACTCCTGCCCCACCCCAGCCATCTGCACCTCTCTCCCCTGATTCCACCCCCTCTTGGTTTTGTTCATGTGTCCTTTACACTTGTTCCTCAAAACCCTTCACCACTTTCCCACTCATATCCACTCCCACCTTCCCTCTGGTTACCATCAGATTGCTCTTAATTCCAATGTCTCTGGTTATATTTTGCTTCTTTGTATGTTTTTTGACTAGGTTCCAGTTAAAGGTGAGACCCAATGATATTTGTCCCTCACCTCCTGGCTTCCTTCATTTAGCATAGTGCTCTCCAGTTGCATCCATGCTGTTGCAAAGGGTAGGAGCTTCTTTTTTCTTTCTGCTGCATAGTATTCCATCTTGTAAATGTACCATAGGTTTTTGATCCATTCATTTATTACTGATGTTTACTTATGTTTCTTCCAGCACTTGGTTATTGTAAATTGTGCTGCTATGAACATTGTGGGGAATAGGTTCTTATAGATTCAGGATTCAGGGTTCAGGTATTTCAGGGTTCTTAGGATATAATCCTGGCAGTGGTATTGCTCAGTCAAAAGGCAGTTCCATTTTTTAGTTTTCTGAGGAAATTCCATACTGTTTTCCACAGTGGCTTCACCAGTCTGTATTCCCATCAACAGTGCCCTAGGGTTCCCTTTTCTCTACATTCTTTCCAATACTTGTTGTTTGTTGCTTTCTTTATGGTGGTCGTTCTCACCAGTATCTCATGGTGGTTTTAATTTGCATCTCTCTGATGGCTAGTGATGCTGAGTTTTTTTTCCTATGCCTCTTGGCCCTCTGTATGTCTTCCTTGAGAAGTGTCTGTTCAAGTCCTTTGCACATTTTTTAACTGGGTTGTATGTCTTCCTGGGGTGGAGTCACATGAGTTCTTTATATATTTTGGAGATCAAACCCTTATCGGAGGTATCATTGGCAAATATGTTTTCCCCTGTAGCTGGTTCTCTTTTCACTCCAAAGCTGTTTTCTTTAGTCATGAAGAGGGTTTTTAATTTGATGAGGTTCCATTTACTTATTCTTTCCTTTGTGCCCCTTGCTCTAATTCCACTGCTGGGATTATATCCTAAGAACCTGGAAACACCAATTCAAAAGAACCTATGCACCCCAATGTTTATAGCAGCACAATTCACAATAGCCAAGTGCTGGAAGCATCATAAATGCACATCAGTAAATGAATGGATGAAGAAACTATAGTACATTTACAAGACGGAATAATATGCAGCAGAAAGAAAGAAGGAGCTCCTACCCTTTGTGACAACATGAATGGAATTGGATAGCATTATGCTAAGTGATATAGGCCAGGTGGTGAGGGACAAATACTGTATAATTTCACCTTTAACTAGAACATAATCAACAAAGCAAACAAGCAAGCAAAATATAACCAGAGACATTGGAATTAAGAACAATCTGATGGTAACCAGAGAGAAGGTAGGAGGGGATAATGGGGAAAAGGTGGAAAGGTTTTGAGGAACAAGTATAAAGGACACATGGACAAAACCAAGAGGGGGTGGAATCAGGGGAGAGAGATGGGGATGGCTGGGGTGGGAGGTAAATGCAGACAACTGTAATTGAACAACAATAAAATAATTTTTAAAAGAGCAGGAAGATAGTTTAAGGGATCTTTGGGACAACATGAAACATATCTCCATTATAGAGGTACCAGGAGGAGAAGTGAGGGAGAGTAAGTGATAGAGAACCTGTTTGAAGAAATAACCACAGAAAACTTTCTTAACCTGGTGAAGGAAAAAGTCACACAAGTTCAGGAAGCATAAAGAGTTCCAATTAACATGAACCCAAAGAGACCCCCACCAAGACACATCATAATTAAAAGGGCAAAGTTTAAAGACAAAGAGAAATCTCCAACACAGCAAGGGAGAGGCAGTTAGTTGCCTATAAGGGAGTTCCCACAAGGCTTTCAGCTGATGTCTCAACAGAAGCACTACAGGCCAGAAGGGAATGGCATGCAGTATTAAAGGATAAAAAAGCAATGATCTAAAACCAAGATAATTCTATCCAGCAAGGCTAACATTTAAAATTGAAGGTGAGATAAAGATCTTACCACACCAAAAAAAGAAAAAAAAAGTCTAAAGGAGTTCAATACCACCAATCAAGCATTGCAAGAAATGTTGAAGGGACTGTTTTAAGAAGAAGAAATATATAGAGAGGAACATAGGCATAAAGAATAAAAATGGCAATAAATAAGTACCTATGAATAATAACTTTAAATGTAAATCAATTAAATGCTCCAATCAAAAAGACATGTGGTAGTTGCATGGATAAGAAAATAGGACCCATACACAGGGTCTAGGAGAAATAACGCTGCCTGCCTGAGTACGGTTGGTAGGGTAATAATATGGGTGTAATAATTTATAGTTATGAACATTTCACCTAAAATGTCATATGGTGTGCTTGAGTGTGATACTGTTATGTTACAGGATTACATGCTTATGATTTTTGTAACAAAAGATTTTGTAATAAAAAGGGGCATTACTTGTGTTGGACTCTTATATTTTGTATATAAGGGACCCATCTCAGAATAAGAGATACACATAGACTGAATGTTAAGGGATAGAAAAAACTGCATGAAAATGTAAACAAAGCCATTAACAAGAGACAAAGAAGGTCACTACATAACGCTAAAGGGATTGATTCAACAAGAGGATATAACCCTTGTGAATATATATGCACCCAGTATAGAAGTACTAACATATATAAAGAAAACTCTTGGTGGACTTTAAGGGACAGATTAACAGCAATGGTCACAGTAGGGGACTTAAACACCCCCACTGATGTCAATGGATAGATCTTCCAGACAGAGAATCAACAAAGAAATGGTGACTTTGTATCACTTACTGTATCAGATTGATCTAATTGATATTTACAGAACATTTCCCCTCCAACTTAGCAAAATATACATGCTTTTCAAGTGAGCATGATACCTTTTTAAAGATAGACCACAGGTTAAGGCCCAACACAAGTCTTAACAAATTCAAGAAGATTGACATCATATTAAGCATCTTCTGGGATCTAACTGGCATAAAACTAGAAATCAACTGTAAAAAAAAATGAAAAAAATATTCAAATACATGGAGGCTAAATAGCATGTGATTAAACAATGAATGGGTTACGTTTGAGATCAAAAAACAAATAAAAAACTATGTGGAACCAGGAGACAAAGTTCCAAGCCCCACCCCTTGCTTTGTTCCCCAGCCATCTGGTCCCCTGAACCCACTACTGATAAATTGGCCCAGCTTTTGTGTGCACCAAGTCTGGTTCCTCTGGTGTCACCGCTATGAAGAAAGTGGGTCAACAGCTCTGGCTGGAGGTAGGGCTGAACTCTGTGAAGGTTTTCCAGGCAGCTGCAGACTTGAAACAGTTCTGTCTGGAGAATGCTCAATATGACCCCCTGCTGACTGGAGTATCTTCAACTACCAATCCCTTCAGACTCCAGAAAGTCTGTTCCTTTTTGTAGTGAAATGAATCTTTGAAGGTGTTCTAAACCACTTTTCATGAACCAGTGAGCATTCAAAGAGAGCTAAATTTGAAGCCTGTACAAAAAACTTATCCCTGTAACACATGCCACACTGTACAAACTTCTGCTTTTGTCAGTCCTTAACATCTACCTTTCTGAATTTTCATGAATTCCTATTTCACAAGGATGATTATTTTATATACACTGGCAGCAGCATACAAATAAATACTTAGTATGAAAAAACCCCAACTAACTGGAACCAAATGAAAATGAACACACAACAAATCAAAATCTATAGGACACAGCAAAAGCAGCCCTGAGAGAGAAGCTCATAGCCTTATAGCCCTACCTAAAGAAGATAGAAAAATCTCACATAAACACTCGAACTCTACACCTAAAAGGATTGGAAAAATAACAACAAGAAAAGCCCAGAGTAAGTAGAAGAAAGGAAGTAATGAACATCAGAGAGGGAATAAATGACACTGAGACTACAAAAATACAAAAGATTGAAAAAAACAAGAGCTGGTTCTTTGAAAACTTTTAGCCAGACTCAACAAGAAACAAAGGACACAAATAAATAAATCAGAAATGAAACAGGAGGAGTAACAACTAATACCAAATATATTACAGACAACTGTATGACAACAAATTGGACAATCAGGATGAAATGGATAAGCTCCTAGAAACATACAATCTCCCAAAATTAATCAGCAAGAATCAGAGAATCTCAATTGCAACTAGTGAAACTGAATGTAATTAAAAAACTCCCTACAAATATAAGTCCCAGAGTGATGGCTTCACAGGTGAATTTTACCAAACATTTAAAGAAGAACTAACACCAATCCTTCTTAAACTATTTTTAAGAATTCAAGAGGGGGGAAACTCCCAAGATCATTTTATGAGGTCAGCATTATCCTAATTCCAAAACTAAGTAAAGACACTGCAAAAAAGGAAAAAATTACAGGCCAATATCCCTGATGAACATAGATGGTAACATCTTTGACAAAATAGTAGCAAACTGGATCCAGAAATACATTAAAAAGATCATACACCATCATCAGGTATGATTTATTCCAGGAATGCAAGGTTGGTACAATATCCACAAATCAATAAACTTGGTACACCACATAAACAAAATGAAGAATAAAAACCACATGATCATAGCAATAGATGCAGGAGAAGCATTTGATAAAATCTAGCACCCATTTATGAGAAAAACTCTCAGTAAAGTGAGAATAGAGAAATCATACCACAATGTAATAAAAGCCATATGTGACAAACCCACAGCCAACATCATACTCAATGGCCAAAAAACTAAAAGCATTTTCCTTAAGGTTGGGAATAAGAAAGGGATGTCTGCTTTCACCACTCTTACTCTGCATAGCGCTGGAAATCCCAGCCACAGAAATCAGAGAACAATGAGAAATAAAAGGCATCCAAATTGGAAGGAGGAAGTAAAATGGTCCGTTATTTGCAGATGACAAGATACTGTATACAGAAAAACCTCAGGACCCTACTAAAATGCTATCAGAGCTAATAAACAAATTCAGAAAAGTAGCAGGAAATCAGTGGCATTTTTATATTCCAATAATGAACTATCAGAAAGAGAGACTTAAAAAAATCTCATTTACTATTGCAACAACAATAAAAAAATTAAGGTACCTGGGAACATATTTGACCAAGAAGGTAAAAAACTTGTGCTTGAAAACTATAGGACACTGAAGAAATAAATTGGGGAAGATATAAATAAGTGAAAGCATATATTGTGTTCACAGACTGGAAGAATTAACATCATTAAAATGTCCATACTACCAGAGCGATCTATAGAGTCAATGCAATTTCTATTAAAATACCAATGGCCTACCTCACAGGTCTAGAACCAATGTTTCAAAGAGGTATATGGAACCAAAAAAGACCCTGAATAGCCTCAGCCATCTTGAGAAAGAAGAACAAAGTTGGAGGGATCATAATACCTGATATTACACTATACTACAAGGCCATAGTAGTCAAATCCTGCCTCCCATTTTTTTAAACAGTTATGGAGCCCTATATGGTTTAGTTAGCCTTCTTTTTTTTCAACTGTAAATCCAGAACTATCACACTTACTTTACACATTATTTGCACATAATAAATTGTGCTAAATAATGGTAAACATAAGTAGCCTGGCCCCTCCCCCCTCCCACCCATTTTCCCTTGAGGTGAACTAAGGAGGAGATAGAGGGGTAAGGAGCTGGCCCTTGGGGAGTTATGAGCTGAGTTGGGAAGATTCAGGTTCTCTTCAGAGGGTCTAGAATTTCACAGAGAGAGGGGCAGGACCAACCTGAGCTCAGCCACAAGAGAGAGAGCTTACTGATGTTGGAGGGCCTCCTATGATTTATTCTCTTGGGTCCTTTGAGACCTGAGCTACTAGGTAATTAGTTTAGGGGCTATATGTGTAGAAAGAAATATTCTAGAGGGATTTCTACTCCTAATTTATTGTCTCTAGAAAAATTTTTGCCCTGGATAATATGCCTGAGTGAGCTGAGGGAAAGACCTGGAAAGAATAAAATTGTCACAGAATAGACTGAAATAGAGTCTCTGTGCCTCTGTGCAGAATGACAGACTGATGTCCATCATAGGGGAGCTTTTGTTAAAAATTACATGGTTAATTACGTGTAAAGCAGTATGTATGAAACATAAACTCATTACTTCTGTAGAAATTTGAGTAGCTCTTTAGGTAAACTGAGTTATATTTTCTTGACCTTGAGAACTTTACAGCATCTTTATGAAACACTGTATTTCACAATACTGTTTTTCTTTAAATCTTCTTTTCCCACACCATAAAGCCACTGTTTTATTCCATTCTTCTCATGTATCTATCATCATCACTCTTCAGAGAACTTCAGAGAAGATGAAACTGGCGAGCTTTGTTTTTGAACACCTAACTGACTGCAGGGACTCCCACACTCTGGGGGGCTGGGGATAAGCTGATGAAAGCTCAGGTTGGAGAGAGGATTTTCCCAATGTTTTCATACTTGAGCCTAAGCCCATATTTAATCTGCACACATTTTCTTCTATATTTACCCTATTTTATTGAAAAAACAACCCAAATTTAATTCACAAAAAGAGGCATTCTCTCCTCCACATTCAGCAGATCTACAACACCTTTCCTGCCTTCTCTTGGTCACATTTAGGCAGTTGGTTGAAGAGACTGCAGAATACCCACACTTTACATACGGGAGTCTGGGTTCCTATCAGACTGCCAGTGATGACAAATTCAAGCAAGAAAAGGGAGAGATATAAATAGCAAGAGTTGCAAAAATTTCTTTTGAGGCAAAAAATCAAACTGTTAATGAAACGGTTTGATAATGAAGTCAGAATCCTTTGAACAAGAGAATAACATTTTTTAACAGTATGTGGGATTTGCCAATTATCTTGGTTTTGTCAATTACAGTTTACATTCCATATTATTTTGTATTAGTTTCAGGTATACAGCATAGCAGTTAGATAATCATACACTTTATTTGTGTTCCCCATCCCCACCATGTTTTCAGTACTCACCTTGTATCATGCCAATTAACTTTGAGTAAGAACTTCCTCAGTCAACATATAGTTTTTTATAGTATTACAAGGTTCTATATTAATGTTGCTTGAAAATAATATTTTCCACTTCAGAAACAAACATGAGCTCACTTCTAGAAGTATTAAAGTACAAATTTGCATGTGGTACACATGCATCATTTTATTTATATTTAAAAATGATCAGTAGACATACTATTTCCCCTAATTTATTATTATGGGTTTGTTTTCAGGCCCTCTGTTCTGTTTCAATGGTCTGTATGTCTGTTTTTATGCCATTATTATCCCACTGTTTTTATGACTATACCTTTGTAATATATTTGAAATAAGAAGTGTGACGGCTTGGGGTTTGTTATTTTTTAATTAAAGATTGTTTCGATCCCTAACCAGTGTGGCTGGTTAGGTCACCCATTGGTTGGGTGTCATCTCACAAAGTAAAAGGTCTCTGGGTCAATTCCTCAGTCTGAGCACATGCCTGGCTTGCCAGGTTCAGGCCACTATAGAGGTGCATAATAAGAGAGGCAGTTGATGGATGTTTCTCTCTCTCTCTCATTCTCTCCACTTTTCTCTCCCTCTAAAAATAAATAAATACAATTTGAAAAAAATTGTTTTGATTATTTGGAACTCTTTGTGGTTCTATAGAAATTTTAGGATAAAAAATTCTATTTAGTTTTTAAAAACCAATTCTACCATTTTTGGTAGAGTGTTTAGGGTTTTTGTGGGTTTTGTGGGGGGTTTTTTTGTTACATATACAAGATAACGTCACTTGGAAATGAATATAATTTTGCTTTTTACCTTTTTTGTTTGGATGCCTTCTGGTTTTTATTATTATTACTTTAGTCTGATTGATTTGGCTAGGACTTCCAGTACTATGTCGAATGGTAGAGGTCAGAGTGGGCAACCCGGTCTTCTTCCTGATCTTAGAGGAAAAGCTTGCAAGTTTTTACCATTGAGTATGATGCTGGTTGTGGGTATGTTGTAAAGGCTTTTATTATATTGAAGTATGTTCCTTCTATTTCAAATTTGTTCAGATATTTTATCATAAAAAGTGTTGACTTCTTGTCTAATTCTTTCATGAATCAATTAAGATAGTCACATGATATTGTATGTATTGATTTGTGTATGTTGAACCATCTTTGCATGCCAGAGATAAATTTCACTTGATCATGGCAAATCATCTTCCTAATGTACTGTTGAATTTGGTTTGCTAACATTTTGTTGAGAATTTTTGCTCCTGATTTAATCAGGACTACTGGTCCATAGGTATAGCTTATTTCTTTTTTGACTTTAAATTATTTTTTATTTTTAAATTACAGTTGACATACAATATTTTATTAGATTCAGGTCCACAACCTAGTGATTAGACATTATGTAACTTACTAAGTGATCATCCTGATAAATCTCATATCCCTGACACAATACATAATTATTACATTACTGAC